ACTGGATCTTTCTTTAGTTGTCTTATCCACACTAGACGCTCCATATAACTATTTTCCACCTTCTTCTGGAGTTTAGGCAGAATCGTAAAGTAAACTTTGTCCTTAGTGGATTGCTCATCTAGACCACTGTTGATAAGGCTTTCTTTCATTTCCTCAAAAGCTATATTGCTTCTTTGCTTTTTGCTTTGCTTCTTCTATCAACGGTATCCAAGGGTCCATTTCTTCTTCAGTGTCATTATCAGTCGAACTTTCAGACGCACCAGTTGAAATTGTGGAGACATCGTCCTGGTAATCCCTTTCCTGGCTATCCGAGTCTGTATGAGACATGTTTCTTTCTTGTGCACGTGGGGGACAGTATTCCTTTTCGTGTCTACGTAGATTGTAACGACGGTTAAATTGCTTTCCGCAAAATTGGCAGCTCATTCCGTTAGCACTGACTGTGCAGAAATGCCTTATTATTGAGTAGCACTGCAATCTTATGAGCAGATGAGCATGTGCTCATGAGCAGGTATGCCGAGCGCATGCTTATCTGCTCATCGCACACAATTGTACCCTTTACAGCATGTAAACTTTGATTCATTAAATAAATTGCTTTTCATGTCTTTTCTTGTCATTTTTACATGAGTCGACCTGGTACAAACCAAAATGACAAAAACGCGCCAAAATGTATACATATGTGTACTAATCAATATTTTGCAACGGCTTCCAAGAACGAAGAATGTACACCTAGTCTTCGGGCATAACGAGCCTTATGAGTGGATGAGCATGTGCTCATGAGCAGTTATGAGCATGTGTTCATACGCTCATGAAGGATGAGCTGATGAGCATGTGCTCATGCATGAGCAGTTTTGAGCATGTGCTCATACGCTCGTAGCACAAAATTGTTCCCGATATGATTTTGAAAATTTAACAAAATTTATACTTAGTAGTTCGGGTTTAAACCGGCCTCATGACAAGGCGTTCCCTCGGCATAAATTTATTTGCTATATAATTGTTCTTATTGCAACTCTGCTTCTCTAACGGTTCTTTACTATAGTTCACAGTATGGAAAAATCCCAATTGCTCGTCAGGTGCCCACTTAAAAAATCGACACGTACTCTCCTTGTCATTTCGACAACAGAAGAACAATCGGTCTTTATTCAATCCCTCCCGACACTCTGGCTTCGCGATCGGCTGAACGTCGCCCCACATCCAAAAGCGACACGGCTTCGTTTCTCTCCACACACAAAAAATGGTCTCCCGTAATTCTCCTTCATTAGATCCTTCATCACGCACATCCTGGCAAGCTTACCGTGCTTATGACACCGGTGATGAGACTGTTCCGTACACCTCCATGCCGTAATAGCCTTTTCGTACATGTAACACTCATTTCCCGCACAAATAAAATTGCACGTAGGGTTCTGACCACAAAACCAAAACGTTCCATTGCCCGTCGTAGAACACGCAGCAGGCTTTCCATGTAAACAATTCATCTTTCAAATTAAGTTCCTCTCACAATAACTATACACATAACAATACTTCATTCAACAATCCAATCCCTTATACTGCCTCCATACGTACACGTACGCTCGTACGAACGCGTAACGTCATTTTCCCGCCCTACACGTCACTTCCAGGCCCAGATGGAGGTACGTATTGCGGAAGCTCATTAGTATTCCGCTATATGGAGGGGGTAATACTACTTGCATACTAGAAAAAATTAGTGCGGATGCAGCAAGTGTGTAAATATCCTGTACATGCCTCACCCACCTCACTTGCTTCCAAATGCAACAAATCCCTACTACACACCCACACTTCAATTTGCGATTATTTTGTAAATTTACCGACTAATTGTGTGATCCAAATTTGTCTGAGGATGGGGGGCAAACATGTTATTGGTCAGTATGTTGAAAATAAGCTATTACTGCCTAGACAATTTACTTTGTATAGTTAGCAACTTCGGGGATGCACCACATATTAACACAAGAACAAGCATCCATTGTCAATGACAACATTAATAAAACATGACATAACCTGCGAGATAAAAGAGTAACAGAGTTGAACATGGCCCGCATTCTGTTCTGCTGACACTTTCTTTACAATATAACATAGCCTACTCTAGCTTAAATCCTACTGGATAAAAAATGACAGAAATGAGATAAAAAATATAAGTAGAGTAAACTGTGGGCCATGCTCATAATTTCCCTGTGACTTTATACTGACTCATGTTTTATATCACATGGCTTATTATCAGAAAATGCATTCCAAGTTGCGGCAATTACTGTACTCCTATTTGTGCAACCTGGCCTTAACATTAGGTTATTATTTATATGGAGGCGAATCTCTTTTGATGGTAAAAAGACATGCTCTTTGTCAATTTTCAAGAGACAATCCAACTTTTGAGTGGATGCTTAAAATTTTAGTCAGCTGGATGGCAGGCTGGTTAATACTGTGCATGCGGTAATGTAGAATAATCGTGAGCGTAACATCTAATATAATACAGCAACACTACAACTTGTATAATTTATCATAACTTGTTTGATTTATAATTATTGAATATGGTCAACTTGCACAATAATTGCGTGCACAGAGTTTACATAGTTTACATGATGTACATATGCTAAACATAACTCCGAGACATTTCTCGCTGACGAGTACGTACAGCGTATAAACCATTATGGGATTGTCTATTTGAAGTTTTTTCTTTGCTGAAAAATCTTAAGATTGTTTAGAACTAAGGATCCAAGGGTACCGTAAAGTTTCAAATTGAAAAAGACACGACAAGAACTGTATAGGTTCGCCGTCGACCTAGAACACAAAGAGCATTCACAGGCTAGAGCAGGCAGTGGCTATAGAGCAGGCACGTCAAAATTGTGAATTACAACAACATTTTTACGAGATAAACAATTCCTTGTCACTCCCTTCGTAACTCGTTTTTCAGATGTTGAATTGTAGGAGCTGCTATTTGGGAATGATTACTTTCTGTTTTGTGAAGCTGATAGACTTACACTACGAAATAAACAGTTAACATAGGCATTTCATCTCATTATCTATTGTTTTTAATGCGTTCGGCACATGAGTAGCGTGACGTTTGAAACAAGCATAAAACATCAGAAACGTCATGCCTCGTGGAAGTGAAACAATTTATTTATTTATTGTGATGCTACACGCGACAACTCGAAATTTAAATTGCCTCACCAACAACCAAATTTTGTATATTCCAAAACTACATTTACATTGGGAGCTGTCGCTGAAAGTATCCCCATGAGGCTACTCATATATATATATATATATATATATATATATATATATATATATATATATATATATATATATATATATATATATATATATATATATATATATATATATATATATATATATATATATATATATATATATATATATATATATATATATATATATATATATATATATATATATATATATATATATATATATATATATATATCCTAAAACATCAAAGATCATCTTGATGTTGCCAAAGCGTACACGTGCACATCTGATGACTAAAAATCTTTCGGCCAAACGCAATATATCTTTCATGGCATCAAAAAAGTTAACCAATCATGATTTGGTTCAGCCAGTACAATTGACCAAGTATACTTGAAAGAGATCGCTTATTTTAAAGTCTAGAGAAAGTAATGTTCCAGAGAAGCTGTAACAGTTTTCCACCCACACAACCACTTCGAAAGGGATTACAGAAAGGGATTACAGAAAACACTTATGGCGAACACTATCGCTGAACAAAAGTTGTATTGGAGATGACTATTGTGGGAGCGCACTATTATTGGAGATAACACTATCACTGGAGTAGACTGTTACGGTGACCAATTTACTATATCATATTATATACTATATACTAAAAGGCAAAGGCTAGTTGAAGGAACGTTCTCAAATGCTACCTTCATGCCCATAGACTCATTTAATGTAAATATAATTAGTCAAGTTATAGCAACTGTCTACCTTGGGTTCAGGTTAATATAAGGTCAAAGGTCGTTACAATTCTGGCATGCGCTCTGGCGACATTTACCCCCAGAGGAACCATGGGGACCATTATCCCAGGGTTTTCAGAGCGGGCCTGATATATACCCCGCAGGATGAAATATAAGGCCATACAGAGTTTATTGGGTTAAATGTACTTAACATAACAAGTATTGTAACAGAAGTTCTTTATTCACAAAACCCATTCACCGATCGCGACCCCCAAAGCGGTCTCTTACTCTTAATTCTTAGCGCATCTAAACAGAAATTGTTCCATTAATTGTGCATTACTTACCATTGCATGCATGTCCATCACCACTGAATCCAGAATCGCAGGTACAGATGAAAGATCCTTCTGTGTTATTACATGTAGCATTCTCATGGCAAGGTGAAACTGGTAGACATTCGTTTGTATCTAAGTAAACACAGAAACATAAAGTTATGCACTATTTTGAGATTGGTTTTCTAAGTAATGCACAAACACGGCGTTATGGATTATTTAGATATTTTTTGTTGTGGTCGCTCCTACTCTTATATTCATCTAGTGCATTACTTACCATTGCACGTAAGCCCATCACCAGCGTAGCCAGGATCACATGTACAGATGTAAGATCCTTCTGTGTTATTACATGTTGCATTCCCATGGCAAGGTGAAACTGGTAGACATTCGTTTGTATCTAAGTATATACAGAAACATAAAGTTATGCACTATTTAGAGATCGGTTTTGTGCTCGATGCTACTCCAATATTCATGTTGCGCATTAATGTTTTACCATTGCATGTAAATGCATCACCACTGTATCCAGAATCACATGTGCAAATGAAAGATCCTTCTGTGTTATTACAAGTTGCATTCGCATGGCAAGGTGAAACTATACCCAGCAGGATGAAATATAAGGCCATAGAGAGTTTATTGGGTTAAATATATGAACTCGACATAACAAGTATTGTAACAGGAGTTCTTCATCAACATAACCCATTCACCAATCGCGACACCAAAAGCGGTTTCTAATTACTCTTAATTCTTAGCGCATCTAAACAGAAATTGTTCCATAATTGTGCATTACTTACCATTACATGTATATCCATCACCACTAAATCCAGAATCGCAGGTACAGACGAAAGATCCTTCAGTGTTATTACATGCAGCATTCGCATGGCAAGGTGAAACTGGTAGACATTCGTTTGTATCTACAGTAACGTAGTATACAGGAATATAAAGTTATTATGCATTATTTGGAGATTTTGGTGATGATCGTCGCTACTCCTATATATTCATGTTGTGCGTTAATGTTTTACCATTGCACGTAAATCCATCACCACTGTATCCAGAATCACAAGTGCAGAGGTAAGATCCTTCTGTGTTATTACATGTTGCATTGGCATGGCAAGGTGAATCTGGTAGACATTCGTTTGTATCTACGTATTGCAGAAAGATAAAATTATGCGTTATTTAGCGCACAGATAATTTTCGCGGTCGTTGATACTCCAATATACACGTTCTGCATTACTTACCATTGCATGTAAGTCCATCACCACCGTAGCCAGGATCACATGTACAGATGTAAGATCCATCTGTGTTATTACAAGTTGCATTCGCATGGCAAGGTGAAACTGGTACACATTCGTTTGTATCTACGGAATACAGACACATAAAGTTATGCATTATCGTTTCGGTGGTCGTTTTCTGTCTTGCATTCATGTCGTGCATAGATTTTTACCATTGCATGTAAGTCCATCACCACTGTATCCAGAATCACATGTGCAGATGTAAGATTCTTCTGTGTTATTACATGTTGCATTCACATGGCAAGGTGAAACTGGTACACATTCGTTTGTTATATCTAAGTGATACAGAAGCGTAAAGTTATGCGTAATTTATAGATGCTTTTGTTGGTCGTTGCTTGTCTTATATTGATGTTGTGCATAAATTTTTTACCATAGCACGTATTTCCATCTCCACTGTATCCAGAATCACACGTGCAGATGTAGGATCCATCTGTGTTATTACAAGTTGCATTCGCATGGCAAGGGGAATCTGGTAGACATTCGTTTGTATCTATGGAAGAAGATACATGAAGCTATATATATATATATATATATATATATATATATATATATATATATATATATATATATATATATATATATATATATATATATATATATATATATATATATATATATATATATATATATATATATATATATATATATATATATATATATATATATATTCGGTTTTGAATATTTCGTATTCGGTACAAAGGTAACAGGTCCACAGCTATCATTCCTCCTAAAATATCAAAGGTTTTCCTGATGTTGCCAAAGCGTACACGTGCACATTTGATGACTAAACATCTTTCCCCAATCGCAATATATCTTTGATGGCATCAAAAAAGTTAACTTGTCTGAAAGAGATCACTTATTTTAAAAATCTAGAAAAAATAATATTCCAAGCTGCTGTAACAGTTTCCCACCCACCCAACCAATTGTCGAAAGGGATAACAGAAAACACTTATGGCGAATACTATCGCTGAACAAAAGTATTATTGGAGATGACTATTATGGGAGCCCACTATTATTGGAGATAACACTATCACTGGAGTAGACTGTAACCGTGACCAATTTACTATATCATACTATATACTATATACTAAAAGGCACAGACTAGTTGAAGGAGCGTTCCCAAATGTTACCTTCATGCCCATAGACTCATTTAATGTAAATATAATTAGTCAAGTTATAGCAACTGTCTACGAACCCTTAACCTTGGGTTCAGGTTAATATAAGGTCAGACAGAGGTCGCTCCAAATCTGGCATACGCTCTGGCGACATTTATCCCCAGAGGAGCCCTAGGGACCTGCATTATCTTAGGGCTTTCAGTGCGGGCCTTGTATTTTCCCCGCAGGATGAAACATAAGGCCGTAAAGAGTTTATTGGGTTAAATGTATTCAACATAACAAGTATTGTAACAGGAGTTCTTTATCCACATAACCGATTCCCCGATCGCGACGCCAAAAGCGGTCTCTTACTCTTATTTCTTAGCGCATCTACACAGCAATTGTTCCATAAATTTTCCATTACTTACCATTGCATGTATATCCATCACCACTGAATCCAGAATCGCAGGTACAGACGAAAGATCCTTCAGTGTTATTACATGTAGCATTTGCATGGCAAGGTGAAACTGGTAGACATTCGTTTGTATCTAAGTAAGGTACAAACACGACGTTATGGATTATTTAGAGACTTTTGTCGTGGTCGCTCCTACTCTTATATTCATCTAGTGCATTACTTACCATTGCACATAAGCCCATCACCAGCGTAGCCAGGATCACATGTACAGATGTAAGATCCTTCTGTGTTATTACATGTTGCATTCCCATGGCAAGGTGAAACTGGTAGACATTCGTTTGTATCTAAGTATATACAGAAACATAAAGTTATGCCCTATTTAGAGATCGGTTTTGCGGTCGATGCTACTCCAAGATTCATGTTGCGCATTAATGTTTTACCATTGCATGTAAATCCATCACCGCTGTATCCAGAATCACATGTGCAGATGAAAGATCCTTCTGCGTTATTACAAGTTGCATTCGAATGGCAAGGTGAATCTGGCAGACATTCGTTTGTATCTACATTAAAGTAGTACAGGAATATAAAGTCATTAATATGCATTATTTGGAGATTTTGGTGGTGATCGTTGCTACTCTTATATATTCATGTTGTGCGTTAATGTTTTACCATTGCACGTAAATCCATCACCACTGTATCCAGAATTACATGTGCAGCGGTAAGATCCTTCAGTGTTATTACATGTTGCATTCCCATGGCAAGCTGTATCTAGTAGACATTCGTTTGTATCTACGTATTACAGAAAGATAAAATTATGTGTTATTTAGCCTACAGATCATTTTCGCGGTCGTTGCTACTCCAATATTTACGTTCTGCATTACTTACCATTGCATATAAGTCCATCACCACCGTAGCCAGGATCACATGTACAGATGTAAGATCCATCTGTGTTATTACAAGTTGCATTCGCATGGCAAGGTGAAACTGGTGCACACTCGTTTGTATCTACGGAATACAGACACATAAAGTTATGCATTATCGTTTCGGTGGTCGTTGTCTGTCTTGCATTCATGTCGTGCATAAATTTTTACCATTGCATGTAAGTCCATCACCACTGTATCCAGAATCACATGTGCAGATGTAAGATTCTTCTGTGTTATTACATGTTGCATTCGCATGGCAAGGTGAATCTGGTACACATTCGTTTGTTATATCTAAGTGATACAAAAGCATGAATTTATACGTAATTAACAGATGCTTTTGTTGGTCGTTGCTTGTCTTATATTGATGTTGTGCATAAATGTTTTACCATAGCATATTACATATACATTTTACCATAGCATATTACATATACATTTTACCATATTACAAGTTGCATTCGCATGGCAAGGTGAAATTGGTAAACATTCGTTTGTATATAAATATTATATCATATTTAAATATAATATAATATAAATTATTTAGCTAATATATATTCTATATAATATATATATATATATATATATATATATATATATATATATATATATATATATATATATATATATATATATATATATGCAGGGTTCATCCAGGTGTGAATTATCCCTTAATTAAAACTCATAAACCTGATAATCCCGCTAGAGTAATTACGTCAGGTTGTGGTACTCGTATAGAGAATTTGTCCTATTTTGTTGAAAAGTATTGTAAAGTTGTGGTTGATTCCATTTCCAGTCGGGTAAGGGATGCTTCACACATGCTTGATATTATAGATGAGCTTAACGAGATAGGCATTTCTGATGGGGACGTGTTGGTTAGTTTTGACATTATCAACATGTTTCCGTC